AAACTAAACCTGGTCACAGAGAGAGAAAAATGGAGAAAACTAAACCTGGTCACAGAGAGAGAAAAATGGAGAAAACTAAACCTGGTCACAGAGAGTGAGAGGGGAAAAAACTGACGGCTTTCACAGTGACAGAGAAGAGGGGGTTGGGGTAAAGAGTGCGGAGGCACCAGGCAATGTGTTCCGGGTGACGGGGAGGGGCTTGGTAGCCTGCGGCTGTAGGAACTGAGTTGAGAGATGGAGTGACTGTCAAACAGAGAGACAGCGAAAACAAATCCTGACAGAGAATGAGAGTGAGTGACCCAGTCAGAGAGATCCTTTCTATTATACGGTGTGAATATAGTACCTCACTTTCATGTTGTTGTTGTTTAGATCGATCTGCTGAGTAATGGCTTCAGCCGTTGAACGAATGGATGAACTTGTTCGTGAGTACCTGCTCTACCGAGAATTCACCAGTACACTTAGAACTTTTGACGTCGAGATCAAGGCAGACAAGGATAAGGGATTTCGAGTGAGTTGACTGTAAATCCTGCTGAACCTGTCGTGGATGGCTAGCTGATATAATAATAAACATTTGTACAGAGGCAGATTTGAGACAATCTTCACAGATTCATAGCCCTGGTCAGATTAAAGCTTTCTAGTGAATTTAATTGTGAGATATGCATTTTAGAATTGTACAAATTATTAGTGCAAGCGCAGCAATAGTAGCATACATAGTTTTGCTGTCCTTAAGTGTAAATCTTTGCTTTTAAAGCAGTCATGTGAAGATTAAGTAGACCAGGGCTTCCCAAATTGGTGGTCATGATCCTAAGTGGAGCCGTGAGCTCCAAGGCAACGATGGCTTCAGAGCTCCCAGCATTTCCCACTCTTTCAGGTGTTTTCCCCCACTGTACCCTGCTGTCATATGTCATTGTCTTCTTCACGCCCTCCTTCTACCACCATCGCTCTGACAGTTCTTAGAGGGGCCACGGTGATGTCCAAGTCTTGAAACGGGACCACAGTGGAAAAGTTCAAGAGGCAATGAGCTCGGCTGGTTCCTGGGGTAAATGAGGAAAACGTAGATTTGTAGGAATGTGAGGTGCCCTTGAAGCATCAATGATTCTAATGGAGTCTCATTAAGTGGATACTGAGAGGATTTTCCTCCTGTAATGAAATCTAGAATTAGGCAACACTTGGGACAAATGAAGAGTCACGGGTAAACCTGCACCATGCTGTATTAAGTCTTCTGTGACATTTTGCCACTTTTCTACTTCATGTTACCCATTTTACTTGGTTTCATTTTGAGGTATCCTTCAGGTTCCTGTCCATCAGACAAAAGCAAGCTAGTTGATTTGATTTATTACTGTCACATGGACCAAGGTACAGTGAAAAGTGTTGACTCACATGTTTTATAGGCAGATTGTACTGTACATGTGCATCAGGGTTACAGAAGAGTGCAGAAAGTGTTAACAGCTGCCAAGAAGATGCAGAGAGAAATCAACATTAACATTTAAGAGCTCCATTCAGAAATCTGACAACAACAGGAAAGAAGCTACTCTCGAATCTGCTTGTATGCGTATTCAAGTTTTTATATCTTTTGCTCGACAGCAGAGAGTGAAAGAGAGTATAACCAGAGTGGGACGGGCCTTTGATTATGTTGGTTGCTTTCCTGATGCAGCGGGGAGTATAGATGAAGTCAATGGATGGGAGGCTGGTTTGTGTGACTGACTGGGCTGTGTTCACAATTGTCTATGGTTTCTTGCAGTCTTGGGAAGAGCAGTTGCCATACCATACTATGATGCATCCAGATGGGATGCTTTCTGTGGTGTATCTATAAAAATCGGTAAGAATCTTTGTGGATGTGCTGAATTTTCTTATCTTCCTGAGGAAGTAGAGGCGTTGTTGTGCTTATTTGATTTTAGCTTCAGTGTGGATGGGCCAGGACAGATTGTTGGTGATTATCACTCCCAGGAACTTGATGCTGTCGACCATCTCCACTTCAGCACCATTGATGCAGTCAGGGTGTGCCTTTCACTCTGCTTCCTGAAGTCAATGACCAGCTCCTTGTTTTGCTGACATTGATTGAGAGATTGCTGCCTTTACACCATGCCACTAAGCACTCTATCTCCTTTCTGTACTCTGTCTCGTTGTTGTTTGAGATCTTTTCTACAATGGTGGTGGCATCAGAAAACTTGTCAATGGAATTGGTGCAGAATTTGGCCACAAAGGTGTGTATAAGGAGTATAGTAGGGGGCTGAGTATACAGCCTCTTAGGGCACCAGTGTTGAGGAATATCTTGGACGAAGTGTTGTCGCCTATCCTTACTGCGGTCTGTTGCTCAGGGCATTGCGAATCCAGTTAGAGGGGTTGCAGAGACATAGGTCTCGAAGACAGCGATGAATTTTTTTGGAATTATGGTGTTGAAGGTGGAGCTGTATTTAATAAGTAGTAGTCTGATATAGGTATCTTTGTTGTCCAGATGTTCCAGGGATGAATGTAGGACCAAGGCGATAGCATCTGCTGTGGTCCTTTTGCATTGGTAGGCATATTGCAAGGGATCAAGGCAATCTGGGAAGCTGGAGTTGGTGAGCCATGACCAACCTCTCGAAGCACATCATTATTATGGATGTCAGAGGCACCAGGCAGTAGTCATTGAGGCACTTTGCATGATTTTTCTTTGGTACCAAGATGATGGTGGTCTTCTTGAAACAGTTGGGGACTTCAGACAGTAGTAAGGAGCAGTTAATGATGTCTGTGAATACTGCCGCCACCTGGTCCACACAGAATCTGAATGTATGGCTGGGGTCTCCTTCCAGGTCAGTTGCTTTCCATGGATTCACCCTTAAGGCTGATCTGTGGTGGTGACCGAGGCTACGGGTGCCTCCGACACTGTTGGGACAGGTGACATTGTTCACTACCCTTCTGTTCAAAGTGTGTGTAGGATGCATCAAGCTCATCGGATAGTAATGTACCGTTCGACTTCGCTTTATAGCCCGTTATAAAGCCACAAGCCATGGCCATGCCACAAATGGATGGTGTCCATGTGGTTAGTCTGGGCCTTGAGCTTAGTTTGGTATTGCCTCTTGGCGTCCCTGATGGCCTTGTGAAGGTTGTACTTGGATTGCCTGTCTCAGTCAGGGTCACCCAGCTTGAATGCCTCAGACCTGGACTTCAGTAGGAAGTGGATCTCCTGATTCAACCATGCTTTCCAGTTGGGGAACACTTGGATTAACTTCATCGACACACAGTCATCTAGCAGAAATGAATTCTGTAACGGTTATGAAATACTTGATTAAGTTGGCTGCTGAGTTCTTGATTATGGACCAGTCTACTGACTCTAAGCAGTCTCATAGAAGCCCTTCTGTTTCCTCAGATCAATGCTGCACTACTTTCTATACTGGGTCCTTGTGCTTCAGCTTCTGCTGGTAGGCTGGGAGGAAGAGCACAGCATTGTCATCTGATGTTCCAAAATGCGGATGGGGAATGGAGCAGTAGACATCTTTGGTTGCATAGCAATCGTCAAGGATGTTTGGACTTCTGGTGGAACAGAAGACATGTTAGTGGTATTTTGCTAGCATTTTCTTGAGATTGGCCTGGTTGAAGTCCCCGGCCATGACAAACAAGGCTTTGGGATATTCTGCCTCAAGGCTGTTATAGTGTTGTATATTTCATCAAGTATGCTCTTCACTTCTGCATGGGGTGGAATGTAGATCACTGTCAGGGTACGGAGGTGAACTTGCACGACAAGTAGCATGGATGGCTTTTCACTTTAAATATTCTAGGTCCGGGGCCCAGTGACTCACCACGGTCACCATCCCTGAGCACCAGGAGGTGTTGATTAGGAAGCAGACGCCAATGCCTCTTGCCTTGCCCGAGGACTCCGAGCGGTGCACTCGGTGAATTAAAAATCCCTCCGGTTGTAATGCGTAGTCAGATGTAGCAGGGTTGAGCCATATCTCTGTGAAACCGAGCACACAACAGTCTCTGAATTCTCTTTGGAAAGTGAGTCTGGCTTTTAAGGTCATGCATATTGTTTTCAATGGCTAGGGAGGGGAGCTTGAAACCTCGGAGTTTCAGTCTTACTTGAAGTCCACGTCTCCCATGTTTCCTGGGTAAGGTGGCTGCTCCATGTCGATCTCGGATGTCGGTGAGTGAGCTCTCCTTGTGGGTCTTGGGCACCAGCTGTGAACTTGAACACTCCAGGAATCTCGTGGTTGATCTCAGGCACCAGTGAGGGAATTCTGCTCTGCAGAAGATGAGTGAGTGCATCTGATGTGGTCCTGGGCGCAGTCGCAGCCTTGAGCATTCCAGGGGGTTTTGTGGCCGATCTGGTTGGGCCACCTCAATGTTGGTTCACCACAGGGTCAGGTCTTGTTCCCATGTCGGTCGAGCCTTGGTTCTGGGTTTCCACAAGGTCGGGCTTGCAAGAGGCTGGAAGGCCTTCGATCTCCCTGGGCTTGCAGTTCCAGCAAGTGGGTGCTCCTGATGGGGTCCTGGGCACCAGCCTTGAGTGTTCCGGGGGAGTCTTGTGACCAATCTAGTCAGGCTTCTTCTGTCAGGTCACCTCGGGGTCAGGTCTCATTCCTGCACTGGTTGGGCTTCTGTTCCAGGTTTCTTTAGGTTTGCAGTTTCAATGTAAGTAATTGGGCCTTGTCAATCAGAGGATCCTCGGACCTACAAGTGCATTTAAAAGAACATTGTTAGTAATTTTGACAGAGTTAGAATTGAGTTTTAAAAGAGCAGAATGATTATAAGATAGGTAAGAATAAGATCTGCTGTAGACAGCTATCAAGGAGTTGCCATGCACTGGCGCCATCTTGGGAAAGATCTAGTCCCCAGCACAAGCAATTTTTCTTGCAACAATATTGGTCTTGTTTCTGTTGAGATGGAACCCAAGTAGCTTGTGCAGGTCCTAAATTGATGCCCTGCTTTTTAATTTCCTTCCTAACTCCCTAAAAATATGCTTTCATGACCTCATCCCTTTGCCTACCTACATTATCAATACTGAGGACACCTGAATTGTCTGCGTGTCTCATTCTCTGTCTGCCTGTAGTACACACTAAACCTGCAGTGTGACCACCTCTGTAAACGTGCTATCCTTTTTTTCATTCATTCACACAATGAGGGTGTCACTGTTTTGCAGTTGTAATTAACGGTTTGAGTCAACCACATTGCTGTGGGTCTGGAGTCACATATAGACCAGGCCAGGTAAGGATGGCAGTTTCCTTCCCTAAAGGACAGGTGGGTTTTTCCAACAATTGGCAATAGAGTCATCATTAGAAACTTGATTACAGATTTTTTAATTGAATTGAAATTCTACTGTCTCTGGCGGGATTAGAATCCGGGTCCACAGAATATTACCTAGGTCGCTGGATTAATAGTCTGGTGGTAATACCACTAGGCCATTGCCTCCCCTTAACTACCCTTATAGCTGTGTGGCATTCCAACTGATGCTCCAGATCCAGAGGTCAAGCTTGTGCACCCAGGAACGTTTTTCGCAGATGTGTTCATGAATGCATCATATGCCCTACATGATTTCCCACATGCTGTAAGAAATAAACTTCATTTGGCTGAGAATAACCAGAGCAAACTACCAGTTATCTACTAATCAGCTGCTTCACCATACCAAAGTAAAAGAATTACTGGAGGCTGAAAAAGAACAGAGCACTTTCTTCCTTGTATCACCAAGTTCCCTTATTCACTAAATTAAACTCACTAAGTACTTCACAGCCAATAAAGTAATTTTGTAGTCACTGTTGTACTATAGGAAATACAGCAGCTGATTTGTGCACAGGAGCGTCCCATCCAAAGAAGCAATCTGACAATCTGTTCTTGATAACAAGGTGTAGAGCCGGATGAACACAGCAGGCCGAGCAGGACGGCTGACGTTTCGGGCCTAGACCCTTCAGAAAAACAGAAAATCTGTTCTTGATGGATATGTGAATACAGGCAGATCTACTGTGCTCTTTTAATAGTACCTGGGTTGACGTCCATTCCAGAGGATAGATCTGCTACAGCTGTTTCAGTACATCACTGGGCTGTCAGCCTGGATTATGTCCTCAAATCTGAAATGTGGGGCTTGAACCCGCAACCTTTTGAGTTTACTGCCCACTGAGTTCCAGCTGATGTGAAATGGTCATGTTAGGTGTCTGACTGATGTCAACCACATAAACTGTTGTTTTGTTTTTGGAGATTTCAAGTAATTAAAGAAAACTTGCACCCTTATATAAAGCATAGTGCATTTAAAAAGCTGGCTTTGCAATGATAGTGGTTCAATAATCTTTTGTTTTAGGTTGATAAAATTGTAGAACAACTGCAACATTTGGTTCAAGGTTATGACCTCAGTGGACTGCGTGAATACTGGGGGTACCTGGATCATCGCCTGTTCAGCAGACTGGAGGATGCATATCGACACACAGTCAACAAGCTGAAAACCAGCTTGTACCGTTACTATCTGGTCCATACCATCCAGGTAATTGGCCCATGCCCTAACCGTGTCTGGAGTGTTTGATGGAAACGGTGCAGAGGGAACTTAGCTTTGATTCTAACCCTATGCAGAGCCTCTCTTGGGAGTGTTTGATAGGTCAGTTTGTGGGAGCTTTGCTTTCAGTTTAAAAGAGTAGAGGAAGTTTTGCAGTCTATTGAACTCTTATCTTGTGCGTACCCTGTGTGGCCACTGCAACAACGTACGGGGATATTTACTTTGTATCTAACCCTGACCTGCAAACTCTCATGGTTGGTAGGTAAAGGTCAGTGAGGTTCATTCTGCAGCTTTACCAGCGCAGATAATTAGCAAAGTTGCACAAAGACAAAGTCTGAGGGATAAGAGTTTTTGTTTCATTTAATGTCTGTGCCGGCTGAATTAAGGCCTATGTGCTGCCATTCTTTCATAGGACGTCAGATGCTTCCTAAACTATCCTGCCAGAATGAATGCTCAACTTGAGACATTGGTCAATAAATGCTGATTTACTAATCCATTGTGAAGGTGTTGTGGCAAATGTCATTGCTTCCTGATTTTTGTAAAATTGGTCCCACAGCCCCACCCAGTCGATAAACTTCATTTACCTGATTGTAATTAGGAATGCTTTGTACATATTGTCTCCTGAGTCCAGAGGCCTCCACATTTGTCCTGGCCAGGATTAGTTACTTTAGCATAAATCTGAGAACCCTCCTGGTCAAGATTAGTTAGTTTAGCACAACTGAGAATCTTCCTGGTCTGTTGCATGTTGTTTTTATTCTCTATTTTCTGAGAATGGGGGTTTGGTGGAAGCTGTTCAAATGAGTATGAAAATAACATTTCAGGTTTGTAGAGCAGGGCTTGCAGGAGGAAGGAAGGAAAGAATGTAATGTCTCCCTTTTTACTTTTTGTTGCAGTCTAATAGGATTGATAAAACCCAGGAGTTCTTCCAGAAACAGGCCCTGGAACTGCAGAACCAGCCAGAATGGAAAGAATGGTTTGTTCTTCCTTTCGTTCCGAATCCAGATCAGAACCTAGTGTTCGCCACCTATTTCTCCAAGCAATGGGCAGAGACTTTCTTGGTGTCACTGCACAACTTTTTAAGCGTACTCTTTCAGTGTATGCATATCCTTTATTGCATTGTGTTGTGAATTCATTGTCTGCATTTCCATTCTGATTTTTCCTACTTGTCAGCCAACAGGACAGACCTTACAATAGATGGAAGATCAAGGTCCTTCAAAGAATCAGCTTTGTACTTGTTGTCAGTATTGCTCTCAATCCTTTGTGACTTGTTAAAAATCACCCCTTACTGTCAGATATATTGCATTCCTTTGTCATTTTTTGACTTAATCCACACTATTGTTTTTTTTTGTTTGCTTCTCCACTGGCAAATAATGATCAGCTTAGAAAGATGCATTGAGGCTGGGTGAATGTTGAGTAGTTTTTATAAATGCATACATCTACTCTTCAGCACAAAAAAAATTGAAGTGGATGGAGAAAGCAGTAGAACTTGGTGATTGCGTAATTTAAAGGTCGATGAACAATGTTGTGAAGAGGTAACTGTAGTATAAGAAAATACGGTTGGAAGTGGATTCACAAATTAATTGAGTATATAAATGAGAATTGGGGAAAACTCCCCACTGGCTAATATAGCTAGGACAAAGGAAGATGGTTGTGACTGTTGGTAACCAATTTTCTGATTGAGGATGTCACTGCTGAAGGTCTTCAAGGTAATTAGCCAAGGTGAAACATTTTGATGTGCTTTATTAATACAAAGTCTGCAATGTTTGATTTTAGCTTTGTGGCTTTACTTCTTTTTACTTTTTGACTTAATACTAAGAAGGACTGAAATTTTTAACTTTTAACTTTGTTCCTTATTTCTTTCCACCTTGTTCTTAAGTTTTTGTATCTAGGTATTTGTACCTAAAATGGCACCATGTGGTGACATTGAAAACTTTTCACCGTACATTTGTACATGAATACATGTGCCAATAACGTCTAAATCTGTTTCTGTAAGATCCTCCAGACCTACAATCCCCTGAAATTCCTCTGCTCCTCAATTCTGGCCACTTGGACATTCTCAGTTTCTGGGATTTGATCCCTAAATATTTTTACCTCTCTTCCTTAAAAAATGCTCCTTAAAACCTACTCTCTCGCCAAGCTTTTTGACGTCTATGGAAATGTAAGTTTATGTAATTTAGTGTCAACGTTTGTTTGATATTTGTAGCTTTGAAGTTTGTTGGACAGTTTATTGTATAAAGGTGTGTGCCAGTGTTGTTAAACACTTATCCATCACAACTCTATCATTACCATTTTCTCAAGGACAATTAATGATGAGCAAAAAAGTGTTAGCCTTGATAGTGATGCATCCATCCCGGGAAATATTTTAAAATGTGGATTATAGATTATGTAGATACAGGGCTCACTTCAATGACAGCACTGAGAATTGTACTGCGATTCTGTATCATTTTGTGATTCTGAGTTTAGGAAAGTTGAACCAGCCTGTGAGCTTTATCTCTTCCATTGGCAGATTAAATCCTTGCAATGAATTGCTATTCTAAATTTGCAATAGGAACACAGCTATTTTCTATGTTTTCTAAATTATTCCTATGAGCTGTAATGCTGGACATGTTATCTCTTTACTTTCCTAATTTTTTTCCCTAAAGACTTATACTGAAGGATCTATACCTAGATACCTTGTGCTTAAGGTGATACCTTGTAAACTTTTCACAGTGACAATAAAGCTAATTCGTAATTATCTTCCCTCCTTCAAAATGGGCAGAAGGGACTTACTCACTCATTGTAATTCCTTGTAATTAAACAGTAAGTGCCTACTCACAACAAGCATTCAGTTTTGTGCTGATGAGTGGTAAATAATGTCTACGTCATGTAAATACCAGGCAGTGACCATCTCAAATATGTGAGCCTAACTCCTTTCATCCAATGTTTGATGAATCTCTCACAATCAACGTCCTGGAGGTGGTTGTTGGCCAGAGATTTAGCTGGACTGGTCATCTATACAATGTGGCTACATGAACATTTCTAGGTGTAGCATATAACTCATCTCCTGACTCCTAAAAGTCTGATTCAAAGCAAAGGCAAGGCAAGTGTATGGCCAACACCATCCAGGACAAAGCAACTCACTTGATTGACACCCATCGCCACCTTAAATATTTACACTAATAAGAACATAGGACAGTACAGCACAGGTCCATAACTGATTCAAAGCAGCAACTTAATAAGGCTCCTTCAGCAACACCACCAAAATATGTGGCATTTAGGATCTAGATAGACAAGACCTTGACCGTGCTTCGGTTAGAACACTGCAGTTTGATTATCTCATTTAGTTGGTAATACTGAAGTTCTTGAAAAGGAGCAGAGTTATTTAATAAGAACAAAATGCTGGAGAAACTCAGCAGGTTTGTCAGCACTTGTGGATAGAGAAATAGAGTTCATGTTTTGAGTCTAGTAAGACTTTTCTTGAGTTGTAAGTAGACTCCTTCCCCGTTTAAGCCATCGTAGTTTATCAAGATAGCTGAAATAGAAAGAGTGGACCAAGTAGTTGGAGAGAAACTGTTCCCTGTTGCAAAAGGATCAAGAACAGGAAGGCACAGATAATTTTAATTGAAAGAGAAGCAAATGCGATGTGAGAAAAAGAAAATTCCATACAGTGAGCGGTCAGGGTCAGGAATACAATGCCTGAAAGTATGGTGGAAGCAGGTTCAATCAAGGCATTCAAGACGATATTGAATGATTATTTAAATAGGAACAATATTCTGGCATTTCAGGAAAAAGTCAGGAGAGTCAAAGTGTTCATTCAGAGAGCTGGTGATTGCCTGGAAGGCCTCCTTTTGAACTATAACAATTCTATGAAGAGCTGGGATGATATACTTGGAGAAATAGAGCCTTGGGCATAACCTAGTGTTTTTATAAGATGATGAGAATAAACTGTTACAGAGGGTCAGGAGTCGCAGTTTTAATTTGTGCACCTGGATCTAGGTGAGATATTAAGAAGCAGTCCTTTACCCAGAGAACAGTGGGTATCTGGAACAGATTTTTGGCCCTTATTGAGTTCAGATTTGCTGAATTCCTCCAAATGAGGACTTGATCAGTTTGTGTTTAGAGTGAAGATCTTGCACAGCAGGTAGATACAGCAGGGAATTGATAGGGTCAGTGATCTGGACTAGTATTGGCTAGCCTGGCTTGGTTGTTTGGCGGGGATGTTAAGAGGAATTTCCTGGGTATTTTTGCCCTGAATTGGCCTGAGATTTTAATTTCTCTTATGCTTCCCAGAAGATTTCACTGTTTGAAATGGTGATGGTTACGTGGGGAGAACGTAAATGGTGTGATACACAAGGCATGGCAGTTGAGTGACAAGTTGATTGGACCTGAGGATCCTTCCCTCAGTTGTTGATGCTGTCTTCAGTTGGTTTGTGATTCTAGATATATCAGTTGTTCTGTTTCCTCGTCAAGTGGGTAATTCTCAAATGTGAATCTAGATGGAGAATATTTTTTAAAAAAGAGTTGTCTTTATATAGTGCTTTTCATGACCTCACTGTGTAAGCAAATGAGTATTTTTGAAGCATGGTCATTGTTATAACGAAGGAATGTCTTCACGGCAAGCTCCCACAAATAATACTGCACTAGCAGGTAATTTGATATTTGTGATGTTAGGGGCTAAGTATAGGCCAGTAGATCCAGGTTACCTCCTGTAATCCTCTTTGAAATAATGCCATGCTGTCTTTATCATGAGTATGAGAGAGCATGGGGTCTTCAATTAACCCCATTCTAAAAATGCTCAAGCTGACAGTATAACAGTCACTCAGTATTAAGTTGGATTATCAGACAAGATTTTTGTGCTCAAGTCCTAGAGTAAGATCTAGACCCACAACTTTCTGACTCATGGGCAGAGGTATTTTCAATTCAGTAATGGCTAACAAAGGCAGCAGGATATCGGACCGTAGATAGAGGCTGTCACAACTGAAGATGATTGAGTCAGTAGTTAAAATGCACTTTTTAGCCCGTCTTAGTGAACAATCAACACCAACTTTTGTTTCCTTACCTAGTCTTGGTCCAGGTTTCTAGAATCAGATGCGATACTTGGTCAGCATAAATTCTGATATGTTAGCCAGAATGTATTTGCAACATTGGCACACAAAGCTGCATTGTAGGTTAAAAGTGAATTCCTTTGCATATTGCATGGTGAACTCCTTATTTCAGTCTCAGGATCATGAAGAAAATTGGGTAGTCTTGGATGATCTGGAGGATGTGGTGATAAGTTCAGTTTGGAGTGAACTCAATATTAATGCTGCAGACCGTTATGATCAATGCAAGGTAGTGCCAACGGACGGTTAATTTTGTGTTAGGCACCTTTTATGAAAGTGGTGCAGGCCACCAAATTTGTGTTATGATCTGGTTAGGAACCAATAATTTTTATTTTAAAGTAAACTAAGTTTGAGATCCCAACTAGCGAAGAGAATTAAACTGCAACATGCTTCTCAGTTTACAATAAACAATAAAATTTACTATGTACAATGTCTTTTTGACATGTACTCTGACATCTAGAATTTATATGAGGAAAATATATGAACAGAGGCTGGTTGAACACCCCGTAGATTTCTTGGTAACCATCATACGTGCCTCACTAACTGCTTGCATGTTAATTCATTCTCCTTTCTTGGGACTGCACTTCAGCACCTACTCAAGGTTCTAAATGAACACTTCGTATTGGTGTTCACTAGTGAGAGGGATGATGTGGGTATGGAAATTTGAAAGATGGACTGTGACATACTTAAATATATCCCATGGCTGTTGAGTGGGCCAAGAGAGGAAATAGTAGGGGTGCTGGCAATTTTCAGTTCTTGTCTGGCCACAAGAGAGGTGTCAGAAGACTGGAGCACAGCCAATGTGTTACCATTATTCAAGAAGGGAGCAAGGGATAATTCAACTCCAGGCCAGTCACTCTAACCTCACTGGTCAGGAAACTATTGGAAGTAATTCGGAGGGAAAGAATTAATCTCTACTTGGAGAGGCAGGAATTAATCGTGAACAGCATAGTTTTGATGTCATGTCTGAACAATTTGATTTGAATATTTTGAAGAGGTGACAGTGTGTAGGTGAATGCACTGTATTCAGTGTGGTCTACTTGGGCTTTAGAAAAGCTTTTGATAAGATAATGTGAGACTGTTAGCGAAGATAAGATCCCATGGGATCCAAGGAAATTTGGCTAATTAGATCTAGAATTAGCTGAGTGGCAGGAAGCAGAGTGATGGTTGAGAGGTGTTTTTGAAACTGGCAGTCTGTGTCCAGTGATGGTCCACAGGAATCAGTGTTGGGGCTCTTGCTATTTGTGGTGTGTATATACAAAGGATTTAGACTTGAAGTAGGAGGATTGATTAGTTAGATTGTGGATGATATGACAATTGGTGGGGTGGTAAATGGTGAGAAGGATACTTTGATTGTAGGAGAATACTTACAGGCTGATCAGTGACAAATTGAATTCAATCTGGATAAGTGTGAGGTGATGCACTTCGGCAGGGCATACAAGGCAAAGGAACACGTGATTAATGGTGGGGCTATGGGAAGCACAGAGGATCAGCAGAACCATGGTATGCATGTCCATCTCCCCCTTAAAGCCACAGGGCGGGTAGGTAACGTGGTTAAGATGATATGTGGGGTGCTAGAGTTTGAGGCATAGAATTTAAGAGCAGAGAAGTTATTCTGGAGCTGTATAAAAAGTTGCTTATGCCATAGCTAAGGTATTGTTTGAAGTTCTGGAACCAACAGAGGAGGGATGTGATTGTACAGTGCAGAAGAGATTTACCAGAATGTTGCCTGGGCTGGAGAGTTTTGGTCATGAAGATAGGATTAGATAGACTGGAGTTGTTGACCTTGGAGCAGAGGAGATTGAGGCGGGTACGTGATTGAGATGTGTGAAATAATGAGGGGCATATCAACAGGAAGGAACTTATCCCTTTGGTGGAGGGAACAATGCCCAAGGGGCAGGAGGTTTAGAGAGGATGTGAGAAAAAGATTTCTTTCACTTGGAGAGTGACAGCAATCTGGAACTTGCTGTCTATAAAGGTGGTAGAGCTGGAAGCCCTCATAATATTTAAGTATTTCGATGTGCATTTGTGATGCCAAGGCCTGCAAGGCTATGGGCCAAGTGGTGGAAACTACAATTAGAATAGTTAGGTGGTGGTTTTTCCCCAGCATAGCCTTGATGGACAGAAGAGCCTTTTACTGTGCTGTAGACCACTAGGGCATAGTTGCAGCTTTTTTTTGTAAACAGTCAACTAGCTTCACTGTGCTAGTGCTGCTCGTGGTTTATCATAGAATCCCTGCAGTGTGGAAGCAGTCTTTTCGGCCCTTTAAGTCTACACTGACCCTCCAAAGAGCATCCCACCCAGACCTCCTATCCCTGTAAACCTCATTTCCCTTTGCTAACCCACCTAGCCTGCACATCTTTGGACTGTGGGAGGAAACCGGAGCACTCAGAGGAAACTCATGCGGACATGGGGACAATGTGCAAACAGCCAGCCAAGGCTGGAATCAAACCTGCTAATCACAGTCACCGTGCCTCCTGGTTTCTTCAGGCTTTAATGTTTCTCATTAGCTGTGCAGGCAGTCTCTGTGCTGCGACCACGTGCCATTCTGGAGTATATTTGCAAGTTAAGTTGTACATCAGTTGGAACACAGTTATAAAATAGCCATTTGTAAGTATAAGAAACGTTCATGTGTCGGATCTTTAAAATTATACCCGTGTACGGGATTGTGTTTGTAAGTACGAGTGTTCGTAAGTGGGATGCTCATAAATCAGGGATCCCCTATATTTAGCAAATAATTCATGTCGACTTTCTTCACCTCCATTGTCAGTTGCACTGAATTATTAGTTGCCACAGGTTTCTTCCAAGACCCCACAGCTCCCAGGACCTTTCCTAACGCCAGCATCTACTAGCTCCTATGACTTCTGAGTCCTAGTTCAGAGTCTGTTACAGCAGTGTCTTTCTCAGGATGAGCCATTCTGTTGCTAAGCACTTGATTGACTTGGACCTCGAAGATAGAAATCTCCTTCCACTGTCTGTGACTGGCTGAATATTCATCAATCATTGAACTGTTCTGAGTGCCCAATTTAAAAATCTTGCAACAAACTTGTACCTAGGCAGGAATGAATGTAACTTCTGTTGTAGCATCATTTTCATTTTTACCTTTTGGCAGATTCATAACTTTGATTGCGGAATGTTGCCTTGTGAAAACTTTCTCTGACCTAAGTGACCCCTCACCCAAAAAAAAAGCTGTATGTTGTTGATGTAAAAATCTCTGGCCTAAGACTTAAACATTGCAGAGTTAATCCTTAACTTTTCAGATCCATATGCTCCATTCTGGAGAAGAGTTGTAAGAGATTCGATGTTAACTTTGTTTCCCTCTCCACAGCTGCAAGACCTGCAGAGTTTCTCCAGCATTTTCTTTTTTATTATTGTAATAGATCTGACCATGATTTGAACCTGAGAACTTGGTGTATTTGATAATGTTACTTTGAAAATGAAACTTTGACATGAGACTGGCACCATACTGAAGTGATTTCTTAAAGGTATGAAGATTTTGCCAGACTTTTTCCCCCAAAACTTTTAAACATGACATTAAACTCTGAATTGATGAAGCATTTTTTCTTAACTTGTGTCACCTGTTCCTATGTTGCTGAACTTTGATGCAGAGGTCCAGAGATGCTACCAACTACAGGAAGAAAATGAAGTCTTAAGGCAGAAGGTAGTATGTTGTTTTATTGAGACCCAGGGACGTTTTTAAGTCTTGCTGGGTGTCAGTGAGGCTCAGGTTAGGTAAAGATGGGTGAGGGAGAAGGTGGCCAAGAAAAGTTGTAGGATGGAAAGCCTTTATTCTGGGCTGGTGAGGCTCAAGTTGAATAAGTCTAGCACTGGGATGGAGAGGCAAAGCTCAAATTATCTCTCAGTCCCAAACTGATAGAAACTTTGGGTAATCTGAGAGTTGGCATTGTTTCCAGTTTTCTTGTGTGCTTAGTTCTTGGCTATGTACTTTCAAAGTGCGTGATATCAACAAATGGTCTAGTGAATGGTGGTAACAGTGTGGAGCTGGAGGAACACAGCAGGCCAAGCAGCATCAGAGGAGCAGGAAAGCTGACGTTTCGAGTCGGGACCCTTCTTCAGATTTTTGATCCCGACCCAAAACATCAGCTTTCCGGTTCCTGTGATGCTGCCTGGCCTGCTGTGTTCCTCCAGCTCCACACTGTGTTATCTCTGACTCCAGCATTGGCAGTTCTCACTATCTCTTAGTGAATGGTGATTTTCTTTTTTGTTGCCTTGCAGTGTGCTTCCCGCTTTCACTGGAGGTGTGAGAATCCTTGAGATTGTTGGTTTGTCAGGGTGCTTGTGTTTTTCAGGGGACATTGGAAACTTAATATTTATCGTTTATACTGTAAAGTGTGTGCTGTTTTGATTTCCTAAATTTTCATGTTGTCCCTCAGTTGTTTGCTCTGCAAGCAGAGCCAAGAATGAAGAAAGAAGAAGAGATGATTCACCACAAATTGCCTCCATACATTCAGAACATGGACCGACTGGGAGATTCAGAATTGTGAGTACTGCCACTAAAGATCAATACTGAGGTTTGTTTTGATAAGCTTTTAGTCATAGAACAATTTAAAGCCTTGTTCCACAGTAAAGAATCTGGGGCAATGCACACAGGTATCCAACTCTACAAACCTACTCCACCCACCGTCACTTTGTCACTCCTTTGAGTGCAATGCAAAATGTTCTTGGAAACATTGAATCCTCTGTAAACCCTTAATGCACAAAGCACATTGCATCCGTTGTCACATTTCACATGATAACAGTTGTTAATATACAGGGTGGCCCAACTTTACGAACACTCAGACTTACGACTGAGATCCATACAGGGGTCTAATTTTAAAGATCCAATGTACGAACATTTTCTGTATTTACAAACAGCTATTTTAAATTTTCCTGCATTGTGTTCCAATCTGCATACAAATCGACTTGCGTTTGGGCTCCAGAACAGAACCTGTTTGCATTCTGAGACTGAATGTAATAACAATTTCAATTTTTATTTGTTTAATATCTGATATGTCCCTTATTTGCGGACCATATATTAGTGATTTTTGCAGCAGGGATTTCTCTTTCCACTCTACGTGTTGACCAGGTATCGTAGTACCGTTGGGGAAGGGCTTCTTATGGTACAGTGGTTATTTTGCTCCTCTGATCGAGGAGGTCTGGGGCTGAAGTCCCACCTGTTCCAGGGGTGTGTCATAGCATTTCTAAACAAGTTGATTAGAAAAATATCTAAATGTACATTATCCAAATTATTTAAATTGTTTCTTAGTATTTTTAGAATAAAGAACAATACAGCACAGGAACAGACCCTTCAGCCCTCCAGTTCTGCACCAACACATTTTGCCCTTTCATACTAAAACTGTCTTCACTTACAGGCTTCGTATTCATGTATTCAAACAGGCGCTTCTTGAAATTTGCTATTGTGTCTGCTTCTACCACCACCTCTGGCAGCACGCTGCAGGCACTCATCACCTTTGCACATCTGTTTTAAACTCGACGCCC